AAAAAGACATACACCAGAGTGAAATTTTCTCCTTGTATAAATTAAAATAAATCTCAATCATTAAAGTGAAGAAATAAATTATTAAAATTTATATATAAAGAAATTCTTCATAAAAAATTTATATTTAATTTTAAAATATAACTCTAATTCACTTTAAGGTATGAACTATAATTGCAAACAAAAAGACATACACCAGAGTGAAATTTTCTCCTTGCCCATAAATCCAAGTGCAACTTGACCTTAATAAGACATTATTTCTTGCAGTATCAATGGACAGATTCTCTTTCTACTTTTTATCCTTTTATTTTATTTTTTTTAATTTTTTTTATCAAGATAATTTTTAGAGAGAAAAGGGATTGAATTCAATCAACGAAATTAAGTTATATAAACCGTTACCAATCTACCTATAAGGTAAGGTGTGTATTTTTTATGCTTTTAAGAAAATTTAAATTTGTTTCTAATTGCCAAAGCAAAATGCACCATAACATTTGTTTTTATTTCTGGTCTCAGTTTCTTATCCCAGACCCACCGCTTCCAGTTTCAGACAGCATATCCTATGGATTCCTCAGACACAGATGTTGTCAACCTCGGAAAATCCATCATTGTACCTAGTGTTCAAGAGTTGGCCAAGCAACCAATCACCAAAATCCCACCAAGATATATCCGACCGGAGCAGAGCCCACCGCCTGTCACCGGTGACTTACCATCTCCTCCCGTTCCATCAGTTCCGGTCATCGATCTTCACAAGCTGGTTAACCCAGATTCAGTAAGCTCTGAACTAGACTCCCTCCACTCTGCTTGCAAGGAATGGGGGTTTTTCCAGGTATGTAAAAAACTAACGTTCCTATTGTGAAATTAAATTTATAGAATTACAAAATAAGTTCTTATTTATGGAAGGAATTAAATTTTTAGGTAATAAACCACGGAATTAGCGCTTCACTATTGGAGGAATTCAAGTTGGAGACTGAGAATTTCTTCAATCTTTCTTATGAAGAGAAGAAGGAGAAGTTTTGGCAGCAGCCAGACAACCATGAAGGGTTCGGACAGTTGTTTGTGGTGTCCGAAGAGCAGAAGCTAGATTGGTCTGACATGTTCTATATAACTACTCTTCCACACAATCTTAGGAGGGTTGATCTCTTTGACAAACTCCCTAAAAAACTCAGGTACGACATTATAATGTTCTAATGTAGGATTTTGAGGATATGACATAAGTGGAGTCCATTTTGTCAAGCTGAAATTTTTACGAAATTGCTGCTTGAATATAACTTTTCAATAGTTTTGCTATATAAAATTTGACAATTTATGAAATTTAGAAAGTTAATACTAAAGGAATTACTCTAGACCAATAAGTTTTGAGTTTCAGCTTTCTAAGCAGAAAACAATCATTACAAGATCCTTTCGAAGTTCAACCTTAGTTTTTGCAGAAAAAAATCTTTTTAAAAGTTCAATCAAACAAACATTTTATATAAAACTCGTAGGATTTATATGTAATGGATAAATTGAGAATTTGATAAAATCTTAATTGCTTTGAAAGACTCTATGGTATAAGATCTTTACCAAAAGGTTTAAGACTAGAGCTTCAACTTCTAATCATTTTTCTTTGGTAGAAAGTTAGAATCTCTTCTAGGAAAGAATGTGCTTGACCCAACTTCAGCTTTTAGATAGATAAGTTGTTTTAGTGAATATGTTGAACAAGTATTTGCTGATTTTCTAACGGAATCATTTGATTTTGCATTTCAACATCATAATTCTGTTACAGAGAAACACTGGAAGCATACTCCATGGAAATGAAAAATCTGGCTCTTTTGATACTAGATCAGATGGGAAGAGCTTTAAGGATGGATGCCGAGGAAATAAGAGTGTTGTTCACCGATGGGGTTCAGTCAATGAGAATGAACTACTATCCTCCATGCCCTGAACCTGAAATGGCCATCGGTTTCACACCTCATTCAGATGCAGTGGCCTTGACAATTCTCTTCCAGCTTAACCAAACAGAAGGCCTGCAAATCCGAAAGGACGGAAGATGGGTTCCAATTAAGCCGCTACCAAATGCTTTTGTAGTCAACATTGGAGACATACTGGAGGTAGTTCTATTTTACTTGCCTTAGTCTGTTCCGAAGGAAGTTAAAGATTGGTACTCAACGTATTTTGTTTACCCTGTAGATTGTGAGCAATGGGTTATATCGTAGCATTGAGCATCGAGCAATAGTAAACTCAACCAGGGATAGGCTATCTGTTGCAACATTCTATAGCTCAAAGCTAGACTCGGAATTAGGTCCTGCACCAAGCATTATTGGCCCTAATCACCCAGCACTATTCCGGCGAGTTCCTATGGAGAAGTACTTCAAGGAATTTTTTGCTAGGAAACTAAATGGCAAGTCTTACCTTGATTTCATGAGAATGCAAGGTGGGGAGTAAATGTGTACTTAAACCAGAGTTCAAAAAGGTTACATGGTGCAATACTTCATCAATTATGAAAGAACTTGCATTCATGGGGTTAGCAAAGTATTTGTAGTACCAAAATATCTTTACTTCGTTGTAAGCATTCGTTAAGTTCCTGTTGCCCCAAATCTGCAAAACCGATTGTTAGAGCTATGGTATAACATAGTACCCTAGTGGGTAGTGGCTAAAATATGATCCTAGATACAACATATGTTGCTGATTGCCTTTTTCAGTTCCTAAAGCATAGTCCATATATCTATTGCTTTAAGCTTCGTTTGAAATTGATATGCTGTAGTTGTGGTGGTAAGTTTTTTAATTTTTTAATATTAAAAAATATATAAAATATATTTTAATTAAATTTTATATAATTTTTGAACAGATAAAAAAACTTACAAGCACACCAATGCAAAACATTTTTAAATAAAACCTTAGTCTTACAATGTGTATTCTTTCTATCATTAACTTAATAACTTTCATTCATATAAGGACCAAAATTATACAAAATAAGAATATGGATTAAATCAGTTTATGAGCTTCCCTTCTGGGACTAAAAATGTAAGTTAGCCACAACTAAACACTAAACCGAGTCCTAAACTCCTGATGCAGAGATGAGCCTATCAGCTCAATCAAGTTTTCTGGGCTTTGCTTCCATTCCTTTAGCCCAGTTTTTAAGCTATCTTATCCCAGCCTAGACCCATTCCATTAAAAAACGGACACCATAGTACCGTACCATTTTGCCCATAAAAAAAACATCGATGGTATAGTTTTAATATTATTTATAAATTTACAATTATAATATAATATTAAATAAATATATATAATATTATAATTTTAAATTTTTATGTTGATATATAATGAGTTTAAGGTATTTTTGTATTTTTTATATAATATTTTAATTATTAATAGAAATATATATAATATTATAATTAATTTTTAATTAAAATTCATTATATAACAATATATTTATATTATAAATTTATAATATTATATAATATTAAAATTATAATATTTTTGTAAAATGAAATTACCATAAAATACCCATCACTTAGACTTTCTCTGATCCACCCTAATATCTTATCCCCGACCCACCACTTTCACTTTCAGACAGCATACATGCATGTCCACCATCCTGTATCCTCCGTGCCCTGAACCAAAAACGGCCATCGAAAACAAAGGCCTGAAAAACAGACGGGCCGGAAGGTGGGTTCCAGTTGAGCTGCCATCAAATGTTTGTTTTGTTGTCAACGTCGGGGAGACAATGGAAATAATAAATAAAATTAAAGTTGATTTTTTTTATTATCCTTATTAAAAAAACACTATAAATATCTCAACAGAGATTAAATGGCAACCGATATAGTTAGCCGCCTCTTACTTTTCAACTAAAAGTAGGAAATGACAACGACAACTGAGAAAATTGAAATTCAACAGTTTAGAATTTGTTTGGCTCGTTTGGCGGCCCTGGACCGTTCAAGTCAAGCGAAATAATTACAGAAATCATAACTTTAATTTAAAAAAAGATTGCACAGTTTAATATATTGTAAGATGCAAAATAGAAAACGTTTTTTCAAATGGTAGATATCACTAAGTCCTCCCAATTTCCCTTTTTCTTTGTAGTCTAAAATTTTAAAAAATCAAACATTTCACTAAATAGTTATTTTGAATTATGTTTGTCAATTTTTATAAATATCTAATAGTAATTATTTAGTTAAAGGAACTATCATATTTTTTACATTATTTAATCATGTTAAAATAATTAATTAAATAATTAGATTTTTAAGATCAATTGAAAGGATGTTTTAACACCAACATTTTCTCTTTTCTCTTTTTCTTTAAGAATGGAATTTTTAGTATTAGGAGGTAGATGCCCCATGCCCGAGGGAGTGGTATTTTCATATAGGAAATAAAAAAGGAAACTATTATAAGAAATCATAATAAAAAAAAAATCCTCCCAAAATAGTTTAAAACATTTTAAAGGAAAATCTTGTATACTCTAAGAAAATGTTTAAATTAATGATTTAAATATTATATTAAAAGACTAATAATTTGTTAATTTGAGTGAAAAACTTAATTTTT